GTAGGCCTTATCACCCAGCCATCTTCAATTCCCGCGCTCACAATTTCTAATTTCAATAATTTTGCTTCTGTTTCCTCTCTTACTTGTATCGTCACTAAACGATATTATCGTTTCTTCCAAAGAAAAAAAAAAAAAAAAAAGAAACGAAACGTTAAATCGTACACGAAGGATCAAAAAGAAGAAAAAAAATAAAAAGAAAAAATAAATTAATAAAGAGAAAAGACCACTTGATTAATCATGACGATTCGTGATCTATCTTCTTGAATCCTCGATCGAAATAAATTTTATATTTTGATCCATCGAGTATCGATATACGACGTACTATACTTTTATTCTCTAACAAGGTGCGCTGTTTTTATTTATTATATTTTTTTTCCTTTTATCTCTCTTTTTCCTTTTTTTTTTTTTTTTTTTTTTTTTTTTTTTTTTTTTTTTTTTTTTTTTTTTTTTTTTTTTTTTTTTTTTTTATACTTGTTTACACATATATCGATTTTATGCGTTTTATGCTTTCGTGCAAAAGAAAAGAAAAAAAAAATAAATAAATAAATAAAAGAAAAAAAAAGAGGAAAAAAAGATAAAAGATTGATTAACAAATCCTGGCTTTGGTGTATATAATTTAGAGAGAATAGACATATTCATAATTTAACGATCTGACCTGTTCTAACCCTAAATAGGTTAACTTATTAATAGGAACATCAATTAATAATCGGCTTTTACGAATGTTAATATTAACAAACAAAGGTCGCGTTGAGGTTGCTCGTAGGCGTTCAACCGGATCATGAATCCCGTTTCAAATCGTGCGTCTTACTAAATCGGAAGCAACTGTTAATTTCGAGGCATTGATCTTCGGCTTAGAGCAACCACGGCCACGTGTTGGCACCTATATACATATATATATATATATGTGTGTGTGTGTATAGGCAGGTAGGTACTAGTTTAGAGGACCACACACGAAATATCGATCCGTCTCTATCTCTCTCTCTATCTCTCTGTATTGCTCTATCGCTCTATTCCTGCCGATTCCTCTCGGCATGCTTCCGGTCCATCGATCCCGCAAATCCAGCTACCAGATCGACTTGCGCGTTTGCACGTTCTAAGCCTACGAGCTATACTCATCTTCGTGTCCACAAATCTCCCAAGACCAACCGGCATCGTCCTACTATCATCTAACACTAACGTACGAGCTTTCGTCAGCTGACTCTGCTTGCACGCGTGCACCTGATCCTAGACGGATCCGCGAGTAATTTGTTCCTTATATGATTAAGGGATCAAGGATTTAACATACATATGTTTATGTATACTAATCTTACTTTGATAAACTTATCTATATTAATACATATTATGCGTATAAATATAAGTAATTAATTAGTTGTACTTGTAACTAATACTTTATCATATATATATATATATATATACATATATATATATATATATACTTTATCATATATATATATATATATATATATATATATATGTATGTATGTATGTATGTATGTATGTATGTATGTATGTATGTATGTATATATATATTTTTTTCTTTTTGGATAAAAAGCTAAGAATACAAAAGAAGAGTAAAATTAGTATACGAAAGATTATTCGTCGATAGACATAAGATCGAAAGATCATATCTTAATCATATGTTTAAAAAATTTCAATTTTCTTTTTGATGTAAAAAAAAAGAAAAAAAGAAAAAAAAAGGAAAAAGAAAGAAAGAAAGAAAGAAAGAAAGAAAGAAAGAAAGAAAGAAAAGAAGTAAATAAAAAAAGAAAAATACAAAAGAACGAAAAAACAGAAAAAAAAGAAAAGGAAGAAGAAGAAAAAAACAGTTTCGAATGACGTAGCAGTAGCCACTCACGATCGGGAGTCACTGATTTGTTTGGCCCGTTCGGACTACAAATCTCATCGATCGAAAACACGCTCGTGGAAAACATATTTCAATATCCGGTATACTTTACCATTCTCACCCAAATATAGATACGTTTCAATATCCATTTCGTTTGGTGCATCGTCGTTCTCTGGTACTTTCGTGTGTGAGTGTTATATTTTTTCTTTTTTTTTTTTTTTTTGTTCACTCTCTTCCTCTCCCTCTCTCTCTCTCACACACACACACATACTCACTCACTCACTCTTTTTTTGCGACTCTCGTTATCAGGTATATCGGCAGTGGGTATACATATGACCTGGATGAAAAGCTTGGCTCGTGTTATATAGCGCGTCGCTTTTCTCTACCGATTCGCATAACAACGTGTTTTTGTATACGTAGCCTACGATATGTACACCTTCGTTCTCACCCCTCCTACACCACCATTACCACCTATCTCCCTTTAACCCTCTAAATCTCTTCTTCGATCCGTCAAATGCCTTGTTTCGTCTATCGATACTGACCTATTTCATTTTCGATGAAACAACAAATGAAAGCTATGAATAAAGAAGAAAAAGAGAAAGAAAGAAAGAGAGAGAGAGAAAGAGAGAGAGAGACAAAGAGAGAGAGAGTAATATCTTGAAGAGAGTTATTGGTTCTCCTTCTCTCTCTCTTTTTTTTTTAATTTCTCTTTCTCTCCCTCTCTCTCTCTCTCTCTCTCTCTCTCTGTCTCTGTCTCTATCTCTTTTGCTAAAATATTGAAACAAATATGAATCTAGTCAATGGTGAACGTAACTTTTAATCGAGTATTCTATGACATGCTGAAGGACATCGGCTTGGAAGCCACTTCCTTTGCCAAACACGCCTACTAGTAAATCCTTTAGTGAATTTGCCTCGTTCGCTGGCGTTCAATTTTCTCGGCGACTGGCTCTCACTCTCTTTGATGTTTAACGATTCGTTGCTGTCGAATTTCGTAAAAGAAATTATCTCGTGGAATTCGATATTTATTTATTTATTTATTTATTTTTTTTTATATTCTGTATTTTATATATATATATATATATATATATATATATATATATATATATCAGATTGATATCTGTCTTTTTACCGGATACCTGTTGCCTCTTCAATCAATTTTTTCGCCTTCGATAATAAACGGAATAAAAAACAGGAAAAAAAGAATTTAAAAAAAAAAGAAAAGAAAAAAATAAGCCAAACTTAATATATATATATATATATATATATATATATATATATATATATATATATTTCTTATATAACTTAATTATACAGTTATAATACATTTGGAGATTTTTTTCTTTTCTTTCTTTTCTTTTCTTTTTTCTTTTCTCTCTGAAAATTTCACAAAAGAAGAAGATGAAGAAGAAGAAAAAGGAAGAAAGAAAACGTGACTGTTTTGATTTGAATCAAAAGGGATACGATGATTCACGAAAACGACGAATTAATCTAACGTTAAGAAGTCGAGTGATCAGAGGAAGGGTCGAATAGATATACAACATGGGTCTTTGGGATGAACGAAAAACGTCGTCACTTTTCGGGAAACTTTCGTATTCTTTTTTCTTCGTCCATCCTTCTTCTTTCCTTCCTTCCTTCCTTCATTCCATCTTTCCTTCCTTCGATTAAACGAGTCGAGATATCGTTTTCTGATGCGATTAGAATGGCTCGATTACTTTGGACGAGTTAGTATCGATCGAGGGTCGCTTGATGTGTTGGTTTATTCTACCGAAAAACCTTTTAACCCCTGTCTACGATAGTTAACTTCACTTTTTGACACTTTCAGAGAGACAGTGTGACAGAAAGATAGAGAGAGAGAGAGAGAGAGAGGGATATATATATATCGTTTATCGATCGAAATAATGCTTGATAATAATAAGCAATAACCAATAACGTGAAATAAAATAAATCAAATTATAATCGTACAAATCTGTTTCTTTCTTTCTTTCTTCTTTTTTTTTTTTTTTTTTTTCTTTTTTCTTTTAATGGATATTAATTTCTCCCGAGACTGAACTGTCTTTATTTTCTTTTTCTTTCTTTCTTTTCTTTTTTCTTTTTTCTGTTTTTTTTTTTTTTTTTACTTCTTTATTTCCCTCCTTTTTCTTCTCATCTTCCTCTTCCTTCTCTTTTTTATTTCTTTATCTCTTTTTTTATTCTTTACACCTCGAAGCACGGGGATAGATATCCGGGGTCTCTCGAAAAGGTCGAGAGAAGAAGCAACGTGAAGTAAAGAGAAAAAGAGAGAGAGAGAGAGAGAGAGAGAGAGAGAGAGAGAGAAAGCACGGTGGATATTTTAATAAAGAATATTGCGAGGCCTCTGCTCACTTACTTAGTCACACTGAACGATTACGATAAATTAACAGGGCTTGCCGTATTATTTCCTTCTTCTCTAAGAAATGGTTAATACCCAGAAGCAACGATCCTACGTTTCTCTCTTTCTCTCTCTTTCTCTCTCTCTCTCTCTATCTCTCTCTTTCACTCTTTCTTTTTATCCCTTTCTCTTCTTCTTCTATATCTTCGTCGCATCCTGCAGCTTTTAATTAACGATTTAATTAGTTCAGCTTCTCGGTACCGCGATTTAAGATTGTCATTCGGTTCTTAATAAATATTCAATACCAGTAAATCGTTTGGATCTTGCGGATTTTACAACTGTGCATATCTCTCTCTCTCTTTCTCTCTCTCTCTCTCTCTCTCTCTCTCTCTCTCTCTCTCTTTTTAATCTTAATTTTACGATTTTACCAGTTTTACGAAGTACAGGAAATATATTAACCGATCGATTAGATGCGAATTCCTCTCTGATTATTTTTCCATGTTATCTTCCCCCTAGAAAATGTCGAAACGTCGTTCAAAGAATATCTTTCAAATATATATTCGCTTACTAGCAGCCAAAGACCTGTTCGGTTCGATGCACGTTCATATTCTTGACTACCTTACGAAGAATATACATGTTGGTGTGTATTAATGCATGCAAGATATATAGAGAAGGAACTGTTTGCTCATCAAAGAGGATAGCTTGAATTATTCAAAGAATGTAGAAAGAGGGATTTAAAAGTCACTGGCGTATCAGCAGATCTTTTTTTTAAAGGGAAAAGAAAAAAAAGAAAGAAGAGAAAAAAGAAGA